ATAAAGGAGTTAATAATTAAAATACATGTACATGCATTTACATGTACTACTTTTGTTGGGTAAATTTTTGTTATTTCAACTAAAATTTGAAGTTCAAAAAAATTAATTTTCGTCATAATCTTTATTTAACTGCTCCAATTGTTAGAGAACAAAATGTACCACATTAATAATTTACTACACTAGGCGCATAAAAATGAAATAAATGATTTTTTCTGCCCACTAACTATACAGTAATTACTACATGTACAGTATACATGCATGTACTTGAAGTGTCCTCCTACAAGAGCTAGTACTGATACTTCTACAGTCTCTGATGCTGACAGACTATCCTCTGGTACACTAATCCTTAGTCCATATTCCTCCCAGTTCATCAGTTGAGATTTGTCTCCTTGAACTAAGAACAACTTCTTCCCTGCTATTTGGGACTCACTCAGACCTTCCAAATTATCTGTAGGAAAGTATAACACGTGAAACTATGTATTGTTAAAATGTGTATGTAATTATGGACAAAGATGAGATATGGAACCATAATTCATGTAAAGCTACAGTGAATGACAATGTACAGTACATAAAGCAACTTTAAAAATGCATAAAAAATTCAATTTTGATCAGAATCAATTCAAACTTTCTAATAAGAACACCTATATGCATCAGGAAAAGGTGAGAATTTTCTCCTTTTAAATTTTGGTGAAATTCGACCCAAGTGTCCAGTTTTGGAGCAAATTTAAAAATTTGTAAAAAATCCAATTTTGATTGAAACCCAGTCAAACTTGAAACATGACATAAGAGCATGTATATGCATCAGAAAAAATTATAAAAATGGAGAATTCTCTACTTTTAATTTTTGGCAATATTGACCTGAGACCACATTACTAACAGTACAAGGACTAACCTTGTGATGGTACAAGATAGTTGAACTGAATTTCTTTGTCAAGAGCTAAAGTATAAAAGTGATAATAAATAAATAAATAAATAAATACTTGTTTGTGTTGTTTGTATTTCTTTGTTTTCAGTTTCGATTTGAGCCTCAACTTCATCACTTAATTCTTTTACTACAATAATAATAATTAATATACATGTCAACAGCTTCACAAACAGCAGCATACCATTAATATCATATTCTTCATCATTATTCATTGTATATTGTCCAGTAGGTAATTCATGTAAAGCTACAGTGAATGAAAAAGTACAGTACATACCAATCACTAATCCTTACCTTCCAGTATATCATCTCTTATCCATTTTTTTCAATGATTCCTTTAGTTCAGTTATTGTTCTATCCTTCTCATG